TGGTTATCTTGGGATACATGTTTATAGACTTTAACACATTTATTGTCCTCTTGGGCCAAGGTTTTTCTAATCGGTGCAAGGTCATTGCTATGTAAATGGCCTGACCTAAGACAAGGGACCCGAAGGCAAACCTCTGGTGGTTGTCCAGAGGAGAGGGGAGCTGCCTTGGGCAGGAATTGCTCAGGGTTAGAACAGGGTTGGCTGTGATTTCTCCTGGGTTTGAGGGTGGTATCATGTGGGTGCCACTTCTCGGACTTGCCTTGAAATAGGTTTTTCCCATCACCATGACCTGGGGAGCTTCACATCCTTCAGTGGCCCCATGTGCAGCAGAGCTGGGAACAGGCCAGTCTCCTCTGGTTTACACCTTGGGAAATGAGGCACACAGAGATGATAGCCTGTATCTCCAAAGGCTTTTGGGTCCAGAAATCCTTGAGGAAAGAGCCATAGGGAATGGCCAAAGGGGACACAGAAGGTCTGGGATAGAGCTGAGGTTGAAGCCAGACCTGTGCAGCCACCTTCAGCTGGCCCAGCTCCAAACAGTCTCATCTTTTAGGGGCTCAGACATTTGTGCACTTGAGAAAGCTCCTGTGCCAGGTAGGTGTATTTATGGGCGAGCTGAGGCTCAGCATTCCTGCTGGGGCCTCCAAGTCTGTTCCAAGTGAGGTGTTTTCAGTATGTGCAGGAGTGGGTCCAATGCACAGCCTTGTTGTGGCAAGGTCAGGTAAAGCCCCTGTTCCTGGGAGGAGCTGTGTGTGGATTTGGGTTTTATTCTCTCTGCCTGTCAGCTGTGATATACAGATCTTCAGATCTCTGCACTGTCCGTGTGTGTGAGGAACAGAGACTAAACAGAGACACTGTAAAACAAGGTCTAATATCAAATTACTGCGGAGTTTGATGAACATCTGAATTTCACCTCTGGAGGACAGTGACTCGCAGGAGAGACATCCTTAAAGGACACAGATGTTTGGTACGAACACCTTTATCTCCCAAGATGACTCAGGTTATTCTGACAGGTAAAACAAGATTGTGCAAATATGCAACAATGATCTAATCAGCTGGAACAACAGCAATATTTTAACTGGCGCTACCTTTTAACAGCATCATTAAGGGCTCTCATTACTCTTTTATTAGAGGCTCACTCTATTTCTTATCAGATTACAGAATGAACATAACTCATGGCACTGATTTGATCTCTTGTTAAAGAGGATTACAGCTTTGCATTAACTTGGATTGACACGGTTTATAATTTGCTGTTGATACACATGCTGGCGGTGTCACATGTTTGACCCCCTCCCCACAGCACCGCCGAGGAAAAGGACACCCATACATCATCATTAAACATGGCACCCAGTGCAGAACGGGAGGCAAAAGGAGCCTTTTCTGCAGGAAAGTCAGGCAGGACAAAGGAGACGTGTTCCCAAGTGCACGCCGAGATTCCGAGCGGGGATTTGTGACTGGGGGAAGGTGGGGAGGACGTGTCGGGTTGGTTTGTACCTCTGCAAATGGATCTTCGTTAGGGAGGAGGAATTTGCATCCTTTATGAGCCAAATTAGAGGCAAGAAGATGGCCCTGATGGGACTGTGTCAAACCAAGCAGTGGGAGCTGGGGAAGTTTTTTCCTGCTCTTCTGAGACCTTTCCATGCTGTGTTTGCCCCCAGGTAGAGAACCTGTCCCTGCCTTCGGGCAGCACTGCTCATACACCTTGTGGGGTGAGCTCAGCCAGATCACCTGTTGGCCTGTGGTGGAAGTGGCCTTTTTGTCCCTGGTTTGTAGGAATCCCTGGTATCTGCACCTCTGTGTCCTGGCTCCCTCCTTCCAGCTCCTGTGTCCTGCCCAGCCTTGTAGGGCTGCATTTCCCCGACACAGGGGTTTTTTTTCTTTAGCAGATGGTCACAATTTTGTGTTTGACTTTGGAAGTGCAGACTTAACGCAGCAGAACTGGGCTCGGGGCAGGACTCACTTCTCGAAATCCCACGGCCAAGTGCAAGAAATGAATCCCCTGCCTCCACAGTCCCGTTGGCCTCAGGTCATGTGTGGCACAAGAGCATCCAGCCCACTCTTGCTCTTGCATGAGCCTGCTGGGAGGCTGAATTAACTCACAGATTATCCAGCTGCCAGAGAGGCTTGGATTAGAGCATTTCCCTTGGATCCAGCCAGGACGTTGTGTATTTTCCTGATCAGCATTCTCACTTCAGTGCAGTTGCTTTGTCACAGTGTGTCTCTGCAAGCAGAGGGGGGTACGTAGTAGGAAATCCTGGTATTAAAAGATTAATTTACTTATATGACATAAGAGTTTAATAAAAAAAAAATTTAAAAAAAAAAAAGGTTGGTGAGATACCAGCCTTTAACTTTGCTCACTTTGTACTTTGGGTATTAAAACACCATGAGAGGGGATTAATGGAGGAATTTGGGCTCTGCGATTGTCAATCCAGTACCTTCACCACCACAGAATTCCTGAGAGGAAGCAAAACCCTTCTTTCTGGAACAACTAAACCAGTGGCTTCTGTGCTGCATGGCATAAACCTTGGTGTTGGTGTGAGAAAAGTGATTCTGAGTTTATTCAGGCACTGCCTGGAAGGACTGTCCTGCTTTGGCTTTGTTTTGGGAAACAAAGGGAGAGAGTATGAACGTGGAGGGCAAGCTTGGAGTGTGCAGGGCTCTGATGTTTTAGGGAATTTGGGGTGTTTGTGGCACAAGGCTGTGGGTGGGAGGGGGAGTTTCCTGCCTGGGCTCTGGGGCTGCTGAAAGAACCCCCTCAAGGGAGACGTGGGCTGTGGGTGCTGTGTAACCTGCTGCACACCTGGGCTGGAGGAGAGCCTGAAACAGAAGCAAGAACATGCGTTGTTCCTATGAAACTAAACCTGCTTGACCTCATCCAGAGGCACTGTGACTTTGGGGTCACAGAATCCCAGAATGGTTTAGGTTGGAAGGGACCTTAAAGCTCATGTCATTCTCCCTCCTGCCGTGGGCAGGGACACCTTCTACTAGCCCAGCTTGCCCAGAGCTCCATCCAACCCAGCCTTGAAATTTCTGCCCTTTGTGTCTCATTTTGTTTGTTTTATTTAAAATCCCCCCAGCCTTTGACTTGGCCTTCACCATCAGCTCTTGGAGGTGCAGTTTAACTCTCCACTTTAACCGGGGTGTCAGAAGGGCTGGTGTTTGCACAGGTTGTGTGTTTTCAGCTGGCAGGGTGAAGTGGTGACCCAGTGTGGATGGGTTGGAATCATCCTGTCCCAGCACTTGATTTCTGACATCCCTGTAAGGAGAGAGGCGCCTCTGGTATGGAAATTTCCTTTTTTAAGGGGGGAAAAAAAAATAACCTGTTAAAGGGCTGCGAGATGATTTGTCGTCTTTCCTTCGTGAGACAATTTGTCTTCTCCTGCATCAAATCTGTTATAAAACAGGCAAGCTGTGAAAGAGGAAAATCATCCCAGGAATATGGGGCATTAAGGGGCACAAAGAATGGTCCCCTCCTGCTCTCCTGCACAGGGCATTTCCCATGCAGCATCAGAGGCTGCTCTGCTCAAATACCCATCCAAAAACTGACTGAGAGGGCATCTGATGTAGTTCCTGGGGAAATTCCAGCTGCTGGAACACACACCAGAGGAGCAAGCTGGAGTTGCCTGCACATCCCTGTGTTTTGCTGCCTCTCCAACCAATTTACCCACATCTTTTATGCTTTGTGCTGTAAAAGCTCCTACGAAAATGCAACTGGGACCGAAGTCAGGATGAGAGAGGGTCCATCTCTGCTCCATCAGTGGTATCCTGAGCTCAGAGCTGGGGTGAGGGGAACGTTCAGAACTGGTGGCAGGGACAGCAGGGATGAACCCCAGGTCTGGTTGTGTTTGGGGAGTGGTACCTTGGGCACCAGCTCTCCATCTCTCTGCTGCCCTCCCACTCCCCATTCCCAGATCCAGCCTCTCAAAACGTGCAGAGTCCCTTTGTTTAGGGCAAGAACCAGCTTTCTGAAACATTTATAAATCCTGTGCCTGCTCTCAGGAGACGAGCCAGAGGTCACATGTCAGCTTCCATAATTCAAAGCCGTGGGGCTAAAAGCATTTGCACAGGCTCCGGGGAAGGGGGGGGGGCCCGATCCTGACCCTCCTGGGCTGGAGGGAATTGCAGGAGACCTTTGTGAGCCCCCCTGGAGCACGGGCAGGGCACCGGGAGCGCCGGGCCGGGGGGATGCAGCCGGAGCTGAGCACTCAGGGCTTGGGAAGGGAGTGAGTGCCATCTCGTGGGGCTGGACACAGAGCCCCGGGGCCCTCCCTGTGCCACTCCAGGGGGTCTGAGTCCTGCTTTTGGGATCCCCACGTCGCCCAGCACCCCGAGGGCTTGTGCCCGCAGAGCCGGAGTGGGGAGTGCGGGCTGGAAGGGGTGGGAATACAGAGCCAAACCCCACACCCAGCTGGTTTGGGGTTTGACTGCAAATTAAGGCTGCTTTAGCCTTTCTCTAGAAATTAAAAAAAATAAATGGTCTCAGCTTGTTTTATCTTCCTGGTTTCTTTCCTATTGCCTATAGAGTGTGTGTAGCAGCGATACCTGGGATTTGGAGGGGGGTAGAATCCACTGAGCATTTAGCACACCAAGCTCACCTGGAGTAGCCACTCCTTTTATTCCATTTTTTAAGAAAAAAAAATCATTTTTACGAAAAATCGTTTTAAAAAAATCATTAAGAAAAAAAAGCTTCAGCTTTATTTTATCTTCCTGATACCTGCCCAGCTTGCTGGACACTGAGTAACCTGAATTTCACACCACTGGACAAAACATTTCTTAGGGTACAGAGAGAAAGTTTTCCAAGGAAACAATCTGCCAACTTCAGTTTTCATCAGGAGTCGTGTGTTTTCTGTTCTTTCTTGCTCCCTTTCTTCATGGGTGTCCATGTTCTGTCTTTTTCCAGTTTTTGTGAATTAAAAATTCATAGTTCCCAGGGGAGGAGTGGGGTTATATAGTCATTTCAGTACTGCTTGTGGCATTTTCTAAATTATCTTTTTTTGGGGGGGTAGAGGAAGAGAAGAAGTAAAAGGTACAAGGGAGAAGGCAGAGACATTGGTTGGAGGGTATTTTTACTAGAAGAGCACTATTGCCATTTTAATAAAAAAAAAAAAAAGCCACCAGAAACTGAATTTTCCCCCATAATATTGTTCTTCTATTAGTTCACAGAACTGTATTTAGAAAAATTACTATAATTACACAGAGTGGTACAATACTGGCTTTTCCCACGTGCAGGTACACATTTGGTTTCCCTTTGTACATTTGGTGGGCAAAACACCTTCCTGGGGATCTGTTTAGAATTTTGAAGATTCATATAGATTTATGAAACGTGCTGTTGCAATTAATATTCACTCTCTGTGTGTGTGTGTGTTTCCTTGGTCTCTGTTGCAAGGATTTTGCCTGTAAAATGTGTGTAGCAGCAATACCTGGGGTTTGGAGGGGGAGGAAAGCCCAGTGGGCATTTAGCACAACAGGCTCACCACCTGGAGTAGCTGCTCCTTTTATTTCATATTTTAAAACAATATTGTTGACCTGAAAAGCCCAGTTTTCGTGGTGGGGAGGTGACACAGTGCCTGTGCTGTCCCCTGGCTCTGGAGCCAGCTCAGAAGAAATGCATAAATAATTAAGCCAAGGTACTTACACACACATGTTTTATGGCAAATGGCTCCGTGGTCCGTGATCATTTTTTTCCAGAAACAGGTTTTATGATAATACAGTAAAAATATTAAATTAGAAAATGCCTCACTAAGGGTGATAAAACCTTACTACAGTGGAAATAGGTAATTATCCCCTCTACAGCCTAAATGACAGTTTAAAAGAAATAAAAATGTTAGTGCTCATTACTTGCTTTTGTAGGTTGCAATAAAGGGTAAGTTAAATTTTAATTCAAGGAAGACCCCTGTATCGACCTGCTTCTTCCACACTCCCCACCTGAGGTGTGAGTACTCTTAATTACCTGCACAGGTTTTTCCTCAGCACATGCTGCCTCCAGACCCTCTTTGTGCTAAAGTCACCTTTCCTCCAGCTGCAGGTGACACACTTGCAGTGGGGTTGTTACAACTCAGTGGCTCAAGTCTGATGTTTCATATCTGTGGGTGGAGGAGAGAAATTTTATATTTTTTTAACCAAAAATCCAAGTTCATTATGCATAGCCTTAAGGGGGCTGAAAGTATTAAAATCTGCACTTACCCTGGTGAATTGAAACAGAGACAAGGTTAAACCTGGAGGATTGATGAGTTTTACTCTCTGCATGGTTAAATCCTGCTGAGGGGAGAGGCTGTAAAAGAAAGGGAGCCTGGATGATGAGAAGAGAGGGGGGAAAAAAAAAGGTTGGGTTGTTTTATTATTTTATTTTTTCAGGGTGAAATGTTTGTACTGTTTTGGGGGTGGTTTGGGGGTTACCTGATTTCCCTCCTCCTCCTGTCACTCTGCTGGGGTGTCTGTCCATGATGTGTTATCCAAACAGCTCCACTTGGATTTCTGCTTCATCAGAGGTTGCTGTGCCTGGGAGGATGAGGCTGTGGGGTGCAGGGGAGCCCCCTGTGCCCCCCAAAACCTGGAGTGTCCACGTCACAACCCGTCTGTGCTGGCAAACACTCCTCTGCCAGCAGAGACAAATCCTCGCCTGAGATCTTCCCGGGCCCTGCTTGCCTGAAAAATGGCTGTTTGTTTAAAATCTGTGGGATTGGAGCAAATTCAGCATCTATCCCTGAACTCCTGTACCCACAGGACAGTGTCAAACCCACCAAAATGAGGACAGAAACTTGAGGAATTCTCCTCCTTGGGTTCTCCTGCAGTGGGAAAGGCCAAGGCAGGCTGTAAAGGAACAGCACTCTGGGGTTTTGCCTGCAAACACAGCAGCTCTTGCTGTCTTTGGAGGGTTTTTTGGGGTCTCCCAGTGTGCACACGTTGTGTTTGAGCTTTCTCACATTGCTGGGGATGTAAGAAATGAGTGAACATGTAAAGGAGAAGGGCCTGGAGACCTGGAGAGGGGAGCCTGTTCTGGAGAAAATCCCCTTTGGGTTTTCCAGAATGCCTTTAGGGTGGTTTGAGGCAATGGGATCACTTGGTTCTCACTCATAGCCCTGGGGTTGTTACTGTTCTTGGAAGGGAAAATCCCACCCCCCCCATGTAATCAACACCCTGCTCTGTGTGTGCAGCCCCTGACAAAAGGCTGCTGCTTCAGAAAATGCATTTATACAAAAGAAGGCAGAAATACCTCTCCCCCAGCTCAGGTTACTCTGGTTCTAAAATTAAAGATAACACCAGCCCCACTTTTTTTTTTTTTTCTTTTTTTAAAGGGAAATTTGCTCCTGTTATCAGAATTGCTGCACGTGGGATATTAATTGGAATCTTGTTGCTGGGTCATTTTCATTGTTTTTCAAGTGCTGTCCAAGAAAATGTATGAAAACTAAATTACAGTCCCACGTAGGCTGTGATTGAATCCTCCTTACGGCTCCGTGGCCTCGTACATCCTATTAAAATATTCAATCTTGTTTTCTTACTTGAAGAGCCTGTCTGGAAAGGGCAAACTTATAGAAGCCCTCATTCTCTGGAGATACGAGATCCAGCCACGCTGAGATATTTACATATTTCTGTGCTGCCTGGGATTGGTCTCACACGAGTTTCCCCCCCACTCTGTATTTATTAATGAAGGTTGTTGAATGCGTTTTTAATTACACGAGGCCTTTTCATTTGGAGTGGCAGCCTCTTTTTCCCGTTTTGACCTTGAAAAGTAACTTTTCCCTCTCCCACCTTCCCTTTTTTTTTTTTTTTTTTTATCCCCAGGACGGAGCTTTATCGTTCCCTGTTTGGAAAAATCACGAATGGTGAAGAGCTGGAGCAGAATTAGGATCAGGCCCCGGATCCCGACGTCTCCTTGGCTCCCTGAGGCTGCCCAGGAGCAGGGCAAGGTCTCTCCAGCCTCTGGTCTGTCCCTAAAATCCTGCCTGAAAGAACATCAAACCTAAATCAGAGGGATGAGTGGGGACAGTGAGCCTGGCTGAGCATCCCCCCTTTCCAGCTTCAGTGCTTCCTCCCACACACAACCCATTTTTAACTGTTCCCTTTAAATTCCTGACCTTGATTTTTTGCAATCTGGGCACAATGCTGGGGGGAAGGGACACAATCCAGCCCAGCAGGGACCACCAGCCCCCCCATGTGGGTCCCCCACAGTTGTGTTAAACCCTCAGAGGTTTTGATTTGGGAGTTGGGGGGGATTTAAATGCCCTGTTCTGGTCGTTGGCCGCGTATCGGGAACGAGGGACTTTATTTTTCACCAAGAGGATTTAAATGTCATTTACATAATTAACATGGCCTTAAAACAGAGCAAGGGTGCTCTCCTGTGCTGGGAGCTCCCAGTTCACATTCCAGCTGTTGAATGGCCACAGGGACATTTGCTGACCACACCACGGGGTATTTTGGGATATTGCTGGGAATTTTCCAGCCTGCAGTGATCCTGAACACTCAGTTCTTTCAGCTGGTCGTGACTCTGAGCCTTTGTGTCTTCACCATGGCCATGACACCCCGCTGAAGGGTGTCAGCACAATGTGAAACTGGGCAGAGATGACTCACCTGAGGGGTTCATGGGGTTTTATACCCAAAGGTCAGAAGCGGGATATCAGATCCTGTGAGGAGAATTTGGGATTCTGCTGTGATCAGTCCCAAACTGAGGTTATCTCCTGTGAATAACATGTGTGTAGCAGGCATGGCTTGTCCCACAGAGCTGCCCTGTCCCTGGGTGGTGTTTTGGGTGATGTCATTAAAATGGTTTGTAAACTGGTTGTCCCGGTGTGATCCGTGCAGGAACGGCCCCCCTGGCTTGGGGGTTCCACTCTGGTGTCCCCTTTCACAGAGATGGGGTGAAGCAGCCAACTGCCCCATTCCTGACCTTGAAAAAGCCAAGGGATTTGGGGGCTTTTCCCTGCATTAGTTACAGTTTTTACCAGTTTTGCACTGGGTGACTGAATTTTATTTTTTTATTATTTTTTCTTATTAAGCTTAAACAAAAATACATCAGTTTTTAAGGCTGTAACGGGTTAGATGGCAGGGAGGGGAGCCCCCCTCTGTGCTCTGTGCTGCCCCTGAGGGTGAGGCCCAGGGTGGAGCAGCAGGTGATCCCATTTTGCATCTCCTTGCAGTGATTCCCCCTTTCCCTCACCTGCTGTGCTGCTCCCCCAATCCTGCCTCTGCTTGGATGTGTTGCTCCACAGTTTTATCCCTCTTTTCCCTTAGCAGCCTCTCTGTAGCCAAATTTTTGCACTTCACTGTGTCCCCAGAGCTGTCTGCAGCTGATATTAATTAATCCTTTTTGCACCTCATCATTACAGATTTAGTCTCCCTTTAGTCACCTGCTCCCAATAAACATCTTCCCAACACCTCAGTGAGATGTGGAGCACAGAGTCCACCACAGCAAGGGAGACCAGCTCAGCTGCAGCTTGTGTGAAATCCTGGGTTAAAAACAGGACAAAAAAAGCTTCTCCTTTCCCAGTTCCTCCCTGGTGCCAGGCTCGGCTCCCCCCCTGCCCTGTGGAAACATGTCTGGTTTTCCTGGGCTCCAGAAAGCAAGTGCCAAGGTGAGTATTGACTTTGGGTGTCTCATGGATGAATAAATCTCTCTGCTCTCTCACAGCAGAGCAGAGCTGCAGCTCCAGGGAAGTGCATCCATCTCCCTGCCCCTCCCAGCTCCAGTCCAGGTGGGAACACACAAAATGTCACTGCTGGCTCCTCACCAGGATTTGGGATCCCACTGCTGACCTCACCTACAGCAGAGCCCCACAGTGATGCCCATCACAGGCAAAGCACCACCCAGGGCTGTGGGGAGAAGGGCCAAAGGGTCCTGGGCACAGGGAAGGGCTGGTTTTCCAGTCCCCTGTGTCAGGGGAGCAGCCTCATGTTCACTGGGGAGCTCAGTGTGGGCTGTCACTGGGCTGCTCCAGCACAGAGGGGCCTCCCCAGCTGTGGGGTCTCTGGGTGTGACCATCTCCCATGGGAAATCCTGGCAATGTCATGTCCTGTCCCCTCCATCCACTCCCTCTCAATTCCAGCTCCCCAACAACAGGTCCCGTGTGACCCCGAGCCATCCCAGCACCTCCGGCCCCACGAGCTGTCCCTGCACTGACCTGAGCAGCAGCAGAGCCCTGTGCTCCTCAACATGATTAAAATCTCAGGTTTTTATAACCACAGCTCTGAGAGGCATCGAGGGGAGGAAATCAGCTGCTTCCAGCCTGTCAGTGGGATGGCATCGGGCTGCTCGTGCTGTCAGTGCCCAAATTAAGGGGGTTTAGCAGGAAGCCCCCTGTCCCTGCCCTGCTCAGGGTTGGTTTCTCTGGGCTCTTTGTGGCTGCAGCTGTGCCACCCCCTTCCCGTTTGACTCCTGTGTCCTCTACAGCTGTAGCACCAGGGCACTCCGTGGGTTTTTTTTCTATTTTCAGTCTGGCTGTAATGTTAAAAGGGTAATATGAACCACTTTAAATGTGATAACTTCTCGTCGGTATTGTTTGAGGAGATAAGAGCCCAAGCCCCACTAAGCACGCTTTTGAATTCACTTATCAGTGTTTAAGCAGCCTGTTCCCCCCGTCCCCCCACCAGCACCTGGGTCGTGGTGACATGGGGAGAACCTGGGCTAGTGGATGAGGCCCCATCCCAGCTCTGACCTTGCTGCTGAGGGCAGCCCTTGATTCCTGGCAGGAAAACGGGCCCGTGCCTGGATTTGAATATGCTGCAGGAAAAAGTCCAGCCTTCTGTAATCCCTGAGGAACCACCCATCAGAGCCAGGGATTTGCTTGTGGCCAGCAGTGGCCCTTCCCAGGGCCTGGGGACAGCAGGACGGTCTCTCCAGGGGGTGCATGGACACAGGAGGAGGGTGGACTCTGCATTACCAGTATCCCCAGTCTGGCTCAGCTCCCCCAGTTCCTGGAAGCTCTTGAGTGTCCGACACGGCCCGGTCAGAGCTCTCAGAGCTGTTCATACAGACACAGATAACCAGGATGATTTCCACCAGGTTTTCCTAATGCTGCCAATTAACATTAAGTGAGATATCCCCCCCCCCAAAAAAAAGAATATTAATTCTTTATTAATTCATGATACAGCTGCTAATTAGTGCCTCCACGAACGGGCACCACACCTCAGCCAGACACGGCGCAAACTCGGAGGCGTTTTGGGGCCCGGGGTGTGTGGAGGGAGGGACAGAGGGTTGTGTTAATCCTCTCCCCCCAGCCCCGCCACGGCGAAGAATTTCAACTTTCAGACAAACAACTTCATTTACAAGTGTGTCTCTAATTAGCTGCAGAATTAGTAAAGCAGAGTTTTCCCCCCATAGATCGGCCAAAGCCCCGGGGGAGGCTCTGGAATGGAGAGAATCGCATTTCCAATTATTTTGTTGAATTGCTAATTTAGTTATTGTGCCTGGCGTAATTGTGATGGGTATTGGGTGTGCAATTCAATTTGTTTTAAATATTTGTGGGAAGGCTGATCAGTAATGGAGCTGACCTATTTCATGGCCCAAATTGAGAGAAGAGACTAAAACAAAAAACAGCTACAAAGCCCCAGTTTGTCTCAGTTTTTATTTTGATGTCTCTCATCCCTCTTAAGACTGTTGATGCAACAAAAGGTTTACATTAAAAGATGATGGCACTTTGATCTTGGGC